TATGTGTGCGTATGCCTGTGTATGCAGGCATGCACACACACACACCCCCCAAAGAGAAATAGGAGGCTCAGGTTTCTAATATGGTCATACTAGTAACTTGTCTATGTGATGTTGTCCGCATACTTCGTCTTGTAGACATCAGCTTCATTTATAAAATAATTTCATAAAAGATTCTAAGACACCTAGAGTCTCTTTGGCAATAAAATTCTGTAATTCTATAGTTTTAAGAATGCTTAGCTGGTCTTAAATTCACTTTATGTTACTGTTGGAAAACCTAGTCTTCAAACCAGTTTCTTCCTCTTTTAGTAAACAATATTCTAAATATTTAAATCCACGAAAACAATCATTATTTCTCCATTATTTTTTTAAGTAGGCTCCACACCCAGTGCAGAGCCCAATGTGGGGCTTAAACTCACAACCCTGAGATCAAGACCTGAGCTGAGACCAAGAGTCAGACGTTTTAACCGACTAAGCCACCCAGGTGCCTCTTTCCCCACTAATTTTAAAAGTTTCTTCTCTAATATGATGTCATCTTAATATAATAATACTCACAGTTGGGAAGGCTTCCATGCTTAAGAGGAGTTACTGAGTCATCAGGTAATTTTAGTGATAGGAAGAAATCAATTTTCAAACACGTATTAAAAATTTTTCTATAATTATTTTCCCATACTGACAACAACAGAAACTATACGCTATATATTTTAAAAATTTGGTCTGCACCACTGTTCCCTTTTCAGTCTGATGAGAACTGCAAAAGGGTTAAAATTTTAAATTCTCCTTAATTTAAGTAAATCCTAAAAATACTCTTACAGAAAGACAGACAAAGGGAGGATGTTTCTATGGAAAGAATCCTGACTGAGAATGCTTAGAAAGCTCAGGTATGCATCTTGTTCACACAACATTCCATAAAACCGATTTTACATCTCTGGATCTATAAAAATGAAAATACTATCCTCATTGGTTCACTATAAAAATTATATAAGACAGAAAAAGTCAAGGTAGCTCATACAGTAATGGCCACAGTAGGCTCTCAACCACTGTAGCTACTACTTTTTAATGCCATGAATGTAAAGGAGGGAATAAACTTAGTTTATTATGTTACAAGAAATGAGATTAATAGTGCTCTAAGTGCACTAAGACAGTGACAAGTTGCTCAAATTCTTCACACTCTCTCTCTTCTTTCCCATTCCCTACCCCTCACAAAACTCCTCCCCCCCAAAATAAGACTTACCCAAATAAGAAAAAAAATGAAAGATTATTCTCAGGAATTCCCTGCTCTCCTCCCTAGCTTCCACATATAAACTTCTGCTTTTTGCAAAGAAAATATTGACAACTTGGCCTATGTTTAGCTTGTAACCTTCACAGAGATTCTAGAGTAGTCTACTGGGCTAAGTCTCAGGTATATGTGTTTCTGGCTACTTTACTCTGCCTAAGTCATTTATTAGCCTACTTAGATACACTATATTAGACCAAACCACATAAGTAATATTCCTGTAAACTCATGCAGTCTTTGAATATAAGGTTGTATAAGACCTAAAAGGAAAAGCAAGATCAGAGGAATCTTATTTATGTTCACTAAGATTAAAGAGACAGAACTCTAAAGAGAATGTTTTCCTACATATAAATTTGTTCTAAAATTATTATAGAATTTCCATTTATCATCTCTTACTCTAGACACTCAAGAATCATCCCTACTCCTTAAATTTTTAAAATAATACCTGTAAATTGGTTTTCTTTCTGAAGTGTTCTTCTGGGACTGATCCACTAATAATAATCAATGTTGTTTTGATTTCATAACTTAGTATTTTTTTTTTTACTTTAGGCTCCACGCCCAGCATGGAGACCCCAACTCACGACCCTAAGATCAAGACCCAAGCTGAGATCAAGAGTCGGATGCCCAAATGACTGAGCCACTCAGGCATCTCAATGACTTACTATTTTTTATTCTTTCTCTGCCCCACTAAGGTTCCACAGTCCGTCTCAATAATAGGTAAAATATATGAAGAACATACTACATGCCAAATGTGTTATATAGTTTCTCAGTAACAAATAATACTGTGAGGAAGATTCAATCACTGCCATTTTACAGCTGAGTAAACAGGCTCACAGAGTTGGAAGGTACTTGCTAGTCAGTGGTAACATCCATATACTCTGATTCCAAAGCCAACTTCTAGTTGATAACCCTATGCTAATGCTTTTCTGCTGCCACAGTGAAGAGCTGGGAGAACAGTGCTGGGGCCCAGGTTTACTTTCTGTCTCCTAAGACAACACTGAAGAGAAATCTCTATTCCTGTTCTGTTTGCCACCTTTTTCTAACCATAACCAAAAGGCCTAACTTGGATACACTGGAACTAAAATATTTATTGCTATCAGAAAGTATACTCAAGTAAATCCACAAGCAACATCATAATTTTGTAAACCTCAAGACTGAAATTACATGTCAATAAAATCAATTCAACAACTATTTATAAAGAACTACTATGTTTTAGATGCTTGGGATAAATCAGTGAACAAGGCGGATCAGGAACCTCTACTGCCCTAGTAGAGGTTTCTAACGGGGAAAATAGATAATAAGCAAAATAAAATTAAGTATATTATGTATATAGTATATAATATATATAAGCATATATGGTATCCTGGAAGTTAAGAGCAGACAAACTGCAGTGTTACGTGTGGCAGTCAGGCATTATGAAGACGTCAATATGAGCACAGATTTGAAGAAGATGAGGACCTGAAAGAGATGAATAATAGCAAGTGGGAAATGGGAAGAGCATTTAAGGCAGAAGAAACTGTTAATAGCGAAGGCCCTGAGAGCACGGCTAGAGCAGAAGCAGCAAGGAAGAAGAGCGGTCAGAGAGAAATTCGTTCATGGTATAACAGGCAGTAGACCACATGGGGTCTTAGGAGCCACTGAAAGGACTCTGGCTTTTACAGAGTAGAATAGGTTTAAAGAGTTATGAGCAGAAAAGTGATCTGATTTGATCTTAGGCTGCTGTGTTGAGAATATATGAAGGAGGGCAAAAAAAGAAAGAGGGAGATGTGAAGAGGCTACTACAGTAGCTCAGGTAAAGGTGACAATTCATATAAGGTTAGTGTAATCTAAGTTGTAAGAAGCAGCCAGAGTCTAGATAGATTTTGAAAGTAAATAGAATTTCCTGACTGACTGGATATGGGGTGTGAAAAATGAAAGTAAAATTCTTGGCCTCAGCAACAATTAGGAGAAGATGTCCATGAACTGAGACAGTAAAGACAGGTAAGGAGAGCATTCTAGGGATTGGTGGGGGTGAGGTAAATGTGAGATGTCCTAAAGGCTAAGTGAAAGAGGGATAAGGAAGAGGGGTGTGATCATCCGTATTATATACTGCTCAAAGGCCAAGGACTATGAAGACTCAGACTGACCACTAGATTTAGCAATTTAGGTCACTATGGACTTTTTTTTTTTCAAGAAGTTTTGATACAAAGGAAAGCAAAAAAAAAGGAAAAGTAGTGGGGCATCTGAGGCCAAGAAAAGCAAAAAGGAAACAGATTTCCTCTGCTGCCCACCACAGGTAAAATAGAGTATGGAATTTGACTTTGACCAAATTAACTGACAGTTTTTTTTTTTAAACTGATACTCAGAAGAAACCATAACATAATAGGCTATAATAATCTATTATTAAAAATGTCTAACATACAATCCAAAATTGCTAGACAAAGAAACAGGAAAATGTGACTCACCAGACATTAGAATTAGCAGTTAAGGATTTTTAAAGTAGCAATATTATAATTATGCTCAAGGACGTAAGAGAAAATCTTCTTGAAAGAACAAAGGAAATCTCATAATAAACTATAAAAAAAGAATCAAATGGACATTCTAGAAATAAAAAATACAAAATCTGAAATTAAAAAAAAATTCATTGAATGGACTTAACAGAAAATTGGGGATGATAAAACAGAGGGGCAAGCCAGCTTTAAGACATGTCAAAAGACAGTTAAATGATATCCCACCTGAAGAAAAAACGGAAAAAAAATTATTTAATTAGAAACAGAGCCTTAGAGATCTGCAGGATAATATCAAAAGGACTAAAATATATATAACTGGAATCCTATGAGAGAAAAGAGAGATGGGGCAGGAAAAAAGGTTGAAAGGAATAATAAACCAGATTTTCCTCAAAATTGGTCAAAACAAAACAAATATTTTAACAAAACTTAAAAATTCCAGAAGCTCAGGGGCGCCTGGGTGGCTCAGTAGGTTAAGCATCTGCCTTCGGCTCAGGTCATGATCCCAGGGTCCTGGGATCCAGCCCCGCATCAGGCTCCCTGCTCAGGGGGGAGCCTGCTTCTCCCTCTCCGGTTTCTCCTGCTTGTATGCCCCCTCCCTCCCTCTCTCTCTGTGTCAAATTAATAAAAAAAAAAAAATTCAAGAGGATCAGCAAATCACAAGGAAGACAAAAAATCACATGCCTAAGACACATCATATTTAAATGTCTGAAAACCAAAGATAAAAAATAATTTTAAAAGCAGCCAGGAAACAATGACTCATTCCATACAGAGAAACAGTATCAATAAATGCATGCTGACTTCACATGGGAAACAATGAGAGCCAGGCAACTGTGAGAGAACATCTCTAAGTGCTAGAAGAAAAAAAATGTCAACCCAGAATCCTACAGCCAGTGAAAATATCCCACTGGAATGAGGGTGAAATAAAAACATTTTCAGATAAAGAAGTCTAAGAGTTAATGACTTTAGTAGATCGACACTAAAAGAAATGTTAAAGTAAGTTCTTCAGATTGAAGGCAAGTAAGATTAGACAGGTACCTGGTTCTTGAGAAGAAATGAAGAGCAAGAAAAATGATAAATACATGGGTAAAAATAAAAGACAAATTTTCCTCTTAATATGTTTAAAATACACATGACTGTTTAAAGATGTTAAGTGATAGCTTGATGATATATCAGCCTCAAAAATAGTTTCTCCTTTCTTATCTATACCTCCCTCCCATATTTATAGAAAAGCGTAGTACCTGTTTTAGTTTCAAAAAGAAATTTTCAGTAGTACTACGTTTGCTGAAGGGCCAGAATAATCTTTCATTAGGTGAGCAAACACGGACTTTTGTCTCTATGAGAAATCGAACAGGCTCCTGTACTTCTGTTATTACCAAATCAACAGCTGTGGTCATAAACAGCACTTTATCTAGAAAGAGAGGGGGGGAGAAGCAAATAAAAAAATGGAAATATCTTTGCTCATATAATTAATGTAAAATTACTTTTCTCACAAACTTTCAAGATAGCTTAAGGTAATCCATTAATTAAATCAAAATCTAGAATAATCAGATAAATTGCTGTTTTGAAAACCCTTTTTCTGTACTGAGAATTCTTTGCTTGGGTAGACTCCTTGGAATTAGTGACAGCATTACATAAAAGTTTATGAAATGTCTGTCAGACTGATCTGCAAAAGTGGCATACGGCCTCTTCATGCCACTCTCACCAACACTGGGAATTCTCAACTTTTAAAATCTTGGTTAACTTACCCATTTATCTATAGTGCTATGAGTAAAAATGAAGGGGAAAAAAATAAATGCTCAACAGGAGGCACTAGTTAAGCAAATAATGTTACATTTTCAGGATAGAATATTATACAGCCACTAAATGGCATTCAGGAAGAGTAGGAAATAACTTGAAAAAGGTGGTTTCTGCACAAAATATCTGAAAAGCTACATAAGAAACTGATCACAATGGTCCTCTTGGGGTGGGGCCCTGAGGACTATGGTCAATTTTTACTTTCCCCTCTATATCCTTTTAATTTTTAACCATATGTACATATATTCTCTCTCCATAAAAATAAAATTTAGAATTCTGTATATAAATAAGTACATGAATAGAAAAAGGAAGCAGGGAAGTGGAAAAATAAGTGGGGAAAAATGATACTTTGTTTATAGGTCAAATTTAATAATAAATTCAAAGACCTATACAAGTTCTTTGGTTTCACCAGAATTAAAAAACACTGATATTTGTCAAATAAGTGGTCCTAAGGTTTGGATATCTTTTTGGGACTAAAATTTCTGTTCATGATATCAATAATCTGCATCACCTTTAGGAGTTTCTTCATTTACAACTTGAAAAGGCAGAGATTTTGGATTCCAGCTCCCAGTGATAACATAGGACTTTCCATCTGAACTTTTGCCCATAGATTCCTAAAGAAAATAGTAAAAACAAACATTAATGCCAAATAAAGGAACAACAGCTAGTTCCCATTTTGCTGCCTTTAAAAAACAGGAGTCATAAAAATGTAAAAATATGAAAGAGGGTCAGATATTTTTTAAAAAGCAGAAATATATGTGAATGAGACGACTGCAGTTAAAATTAAAGATGTGCCAATTATTTATGCAATTGCTCCTGAAAAATTATAAAGTAAATGCTTATAAATCATATCAAATTCTGCAAATTTAGAGAAATGTATCACCTGAATCTATGCTGAATTCTTCTGTCAAGTGCATAATTATCACATAAATTTTAGTTTTGAAAATAAAGATTTTCAAATAGCAACAATACTAATACCACCTACTTTTAAAAAACTCATGATAGTTTGTAAACACTTCCCTCACGAACTTTCTCTTTGATTCCAACTTCAACTTTAAATTATAAATAAGGATTATTCACCATTATACGGTGAAGAAACCGAGGCTGAGACTAAATAGATCTAAGGTCAGACTAGTAAATATTAAGTCAGAAATAAGGAAATTCTTTATCTTTGTTTATTGCTATTACAGCTCACAAGAACACCTTCACAAAAGTGCTTTACCATCAGATTCAAGTGAGATAAAGTGAAACCTTTATCAAGGAAATAGTGTATAACCTTAAAAAGAAAAGCAATCCTTACCAAATCTAACAAGTGCATGTCACTATTTCGTACATCTTTTCCTGGGCTAAGGAGAAGACCAAAACACCTGCAAAGAAAGAACAGGCATAAATTTGGAAGAAAGATAACACAAAAAAGACATTTAAACTAGGTCATTTAAAATTCTTATTGATGGATAAAGGACACATTAAAATTATCAATAAATTAGCATTGCCCAAATAACCTTACTTCTTTTACTTACAGAAACCAATTCTCTTGTCTTTTATTATCACATAGCTGAAGTCAGCATATTAGCTGACGATTTATGGGAGCTAATTCAAAGTGAACGAAGTACTCACTTCAATAACAAAAAGAATTCCCCAGAGAACAAAATTTTTGCAAATATATTTTTGAATATAGTATATGGTTACTCCACTGGATAAAAACCAGAATTTATATTTAAGCTGAATTTACTAAAAATGTTTACCTTTCAATGGCCAGTTCTTTATTAGTTGTTTGTTGCACATAGATGACAATCTTCTTATCCGTTCCTTGGCGAAGTTTAAAGCACTGTCTGTCCTTCTCTTTAGGAACTGCACTGTAGAACAACATGTTTCATTAATTTTGCAAGGTATTTTCTTGTGACATATACTAGAACAACCTCTCTTGAATCTAGGATTCTTTTGTATGCCTGGTTTTCAAGTCATCACAGAAATTTAAAAATCATCATCTACCTCTTGATGTGAAAATATTATCATTACTGTATGTAATCCACTAAACAATTGTAAGAGCTAGAAAAAACTCATATGCTCCCTAAAATGTGGCTTTAATTTAATTTTCTGTTGTGAAATTTAGATATCTGACTTAGCATGGCATCTAGCACGTAGGCACTGAAAAAAACATTAGTTTTCTTTCCTTTCAATTTAGTCATTTTTTTTACAAATATTTATTGCCTTGTTTAAATATGTAATAAAGAAAAAATACTTAAACATCCTTTGAATTCCAAAACAAGGTACCTTCAAAAAATAATAGAGATAAGGAAAATTAAGGCCAACAGTAAGCTGTTGCTTAATGTTTCCCTTAAGCAGTGATAACCTTATTATTCACCTGTGCAATAACTATAAAAATAATACTAATGATATAGTTAAACATCACCTTAAGAAAAAAGTTGAAAATATTCTTAAAATTAGAGTTTACCAAAATAATCCCCTACTCTCCCACACACCACTTTCTCTGGCTCCTTTGTTCTCAAAAGCAAACATCTGCCAATGGCAATCAGCCAATATGCAGCAGATACAAATTATGTCTTCGTAGTGTACAACTATAAAAAAATGGTAGCAGAACCATTAAAAGATACTATAAAAGGCTACGTGAGAGTTCTAGGTACCTACTCAAACGAAAAAGTGGCTCTGAAAAATTAAATTAGTTGTGTTTTTTGTTGTGTTTTTTTTAAATAAAATTAGTTTGAAGACCATCTGTCATTATAGAGTAACCAATTTAAAAACACTCTATTATCAAACTAAGATAAGAAAATCAAAGAATCGGGGTGCCTTGCTGGCTCAGTCAGCGGAGCATGTGACTCTTGACCTCACGGTTATAAGTTCAAGCCCCATGTTGGGTATAGAGATTACTTTAAAATAAAATCTTAAAAAAAAAAAGAAAAGAAAAGAAAACCAAAGAATCTTAGCAAAGGAGTCTGGAAATGACAAACATGTACAAAGAAAAACTTCTGCATACCAAACTTCAATATTTATGACTGACAGAATTTTCACCTATAGGGATATAGACAGATCTCAATTTTCAACTGATAACAGATACACTAGTCTTTATGTTCAGCAGATGCTGACACAGAAATAAATATAATCCCATCTCTTAGCAGTATTTAAAACAACAACAGATATAAAGTTGTCTCTGGTGTCCTAATGATGAAGTACAAGGAAAAGCCACATTAACAGGAAGCAGAGTGGAGACTGTAAAGAGTGAAGTTCACTTCACTGCTGTCAGGGAGTTTAGATTTTAGATTTTATTTCTAGTCTTGTCATCGTATCATTGAATAGATCCACCCCAATAATTCTACATTGACTTCCTACTATATAAATTACAATAGTGAGATCCAGGCTTAACATCCCTGGGCTTCTTTACCTATAAAACAAGGAAAGTATGAAATACCCAGCATACCTAATAGGGTTATATGGTAGAATAAATAAAACAAAAAAGTGCTTTGAATGGTATAAATGAAAACGCTCCATCTTCCTAACGGCTAAATTGAAAGTAGGTTTCTAACATTAATAATATAAGAATTATACTTTTCCAAGGATGAAAAGAAGAGCATTAATTCTTGTCACAATACTTTGTATTTATGTTAGAGTAAATCTATCTTGTGCTATGGTTACTTACATATACCTGTATTTTTTGGATAGGTGTTAAGTCATATGGTATATCACTGTATTATGTTCTTAGTGAAATATAACGAACATACATTATATTAATTTGAGGTGAATAACAATGCTTTGACATTTGTATATATTGTGAAATGCATCATATTTTAATTATTCTGGTGAACATTTAATTTCCACTTTTTAATTTTGTTATTATAAACAGTATTAAGGGGGAACATCCATCTTGATAATTCTTTAAGTACCTCAATGATGTTTCTGCAAATAAATTCCTGGACATATTACAGAATCACTGGAAAAAACAACTGCATTTGGCCAGTTCAAATCTGATAAAAAGAGGCTTACTTTTCAATAAGTTCATCACTATAATAAGGCTACAAAACACTATTTTGTACTATAAACTACAAATTCAATAAAACCATGTAACAAAAAAAGAACAAAGCCCTGACAAATGTGAAGAGCAAATGACAATCTAGGGATTTTCTGTATAGCATTTCCTTGGTATGAGGGTGAACAGAACAGGGATGATTGTGATTACGACCACTCTACTTGAACATGCCTGAGTCCAAAAGCAAGAGAACTAGTTCTAGTGCTTCTGAGAGATCTTAGACACCGTTCCTATTTGTAATTGAAATTTATAAATGGGATCTACATAAATTTCTTTACTAAAGGGGAAAAATGCAGTTTAAAGAAACTTTTGTTCCTTAAAAAGGAAAAAAATTGTTACAAACTTTATAGATTATAATTTCCACTTCCTGGGGCAGGCATACATACTGTGGGAAGCAGCACATCCCAAGAGTTGCTGTGAGAACAGAAATACAGCTGATGAGAGGGCACAGATACAGTGTCTAATACTTCAGTGCACAAATCAAAGTTGAAGCTGCATTGTAAATGAAATCGGCCACCAGATGGCATGAGAATTCCAAAAATTTTTGCAGGGAGACCAAGAGTTCTCAGTTGTTCAAATAAATAAACCAGTCATCATTGTGCTTTCTAATTTGAAAGCAAAATAGTAGAAATCACTCACATTTTAATGCTATTTTATTTTACCCATTTTATGAGGTAGTCATGAAGGAAAGAGACTTTGAATATGCAACTGTCAATTATGATCCAAGAAGCACCGAATGTGTGATATGGGTTAAAAACAAAACAAAACAAAACAATCATCTCGTGACCGTAGTATTTTAAAGTTAGAAAGCACTTTAGAGTCTAGCCAGCTTATTTTCTAAGTAAGGGAACTACTGCCAGGAGATAAAGAAACTTGGAAAAGTTCACAGTGTTAATAGCAGCAATAATTAACTAAATCTAAGTCTTTATTTCTATTCTAGGGTTCTTTCCACTACTCAAAAAAAGTACCATTTTACTTAAAAGCCCAAACCAATCATTTCTGACCATACATGCAAGGTTAAGACTTCAGACACAGACCTCATTTCTCCTCATCCCCAATGTGTTCAGATAAACTATAATGGAAAACCTGATGTCAACAGCCTTAAGATCTTTAGATTATTAAAACAAATTAACCAGCTACAAATCCAGCAGGCTTAGCTTCTGTCATATTTCATAACAGCAGTCGGCCAGTTACTTTGAGTCTAGAAGAACAAAGTAACGTGACATATTTCCCCACCGAAAGAATTTTTTAATAGCTTTAAAATTCTTCAAATCTTGCCTCTTGAAGAGAGAAATTAAGAAAACAGTGCCATTTACAACTGCACCAAAAACAGTAAAATACCAAAACAGTGAAAGACCTATGCTCTGAAGATAACACAAACAGAAAGATATTCCATGCTCATGGATTGGGAGAACATGTCCATATTACCCAAAGCAATCTACAGATTTAATGCAATCTCTATCAAAATACCAACAGCATTTTTCACAGAACTACAACAAATAATCCTAAAATTTGTACGGCATCATAAAAAACTCTGAATTAGCCAAAGAAATCTTGAAAAAGGAGAACAAAAGTGAAGGTATCAAATCACAGATTTCAAAATGTATGACAAAGCTGTTGTAAGCAAAACAGTATGGTACTGGCACAAAAACAGACACATAGATCAATGGAAAAGAATAGAGAGCCCAGAAATAAACCCACAATTATATGGTCAATTAATCTTAGACAAGGAGTAATGAATATACAATGGGAAAAAGACCATCTCTTCAACAAATGGTGTTGGGAAAACCGGACAGGAATATTCAAAACAATGAAACTGGACCACCTTCTTACACCATACACAAAAATAAACTCAAAATGGATTAAAGACCTAAATGTGAGATCTGAAACCATAAAAATCCTAGAGGAGAGCACAGGTAGTAACTTCTCTGACACTGGTCACAGCAACATTTTTCTAGATATGTCCCCTAAGGCAAGGGAAGCAAAAGCAAAAATAAACTATTGTGACTACATCAAAATAAAAAGCTTCTGCACAGTAAAGGAAACAATCAACAAAACTAAAAGCCAACCTTCTGAACTGGAGAAGATATCTGCAAATGATACATCCAATAAAGGGTTTGTATCCAAAGTATATAAAGAAATTATACAGGACACCTGGGTGGCTCAGTCAGTTAAGCACCTGCCTTCGGCTCAGGTCATGATCCCAGGGTCCTGGGATCGAGTCCCGCATCGGGCTCCCTCCTCAGTGGGGGGCCTGCTTCTCCCTCTGCCTGTTGCTGCCCCTGCTTGTGTGCTTGCTCTGACAAATAAATAAATAAAATCTTAAAAAAAAAAAGAACTTATACAATTCAACACCCAAAAAACAAATAATCCAATTTAAAAGAGGACAGAAAATATGAAAAGACATTTCTTCAAAGATGACATACAGATGGCCAACAGACACATGAAAAGATAGATGCTCAACATCACTCATCATTGGGGAAATGCAAATCAAAACCACAATAAGATACCACCTCACACCTGTCAAAATGGCTAGTATCAAAAAAGACAAGAAATAACAAGTGTTGGTGAGGATATGGAGAAAACGGAACCCTGGTGCACTACTGGGGGTAAAGCAAACTGGTGCAGCCACTGTGGAAAACAGAACTATCTTATGATCCAGTAATTTCCCTACTGGGTATTTACCCAAAGAATATACAAACACTAATTCCAAAAGATATATGCACCCCTATGTCTACTGAAGCATTATTTAAATAGCCCAATCAGGAAAGCAGCCCAAAGTGCCCATCAGTAGATGAATGGATAAAGATGTGGGGTGTGTGTGTATACACAAAAATGCATACCATGGAATATTACTCAGCCATAAAAAAGACAAAAAATGAAAAGAAATCAGCTTTTTTCTGATTTCACTTAGCATTATAACCTCATCCATGCTTTTGCAAATGGCAAGATTTCATTCTTTTTTATGGCTGAACAATATTCCATTATATGTATCACGTCTTCTTTATCCATTCATCTATTGATGGACACTTGGGCTGCTTCCATAATTAGAGAAACACAAATACCATATGATTTCACTTACACATGGAATTTAAGAAACAAAAGGAACAAAGGTAAAAAGAGACAACCCAAATATCAGACTCTTAACTATACAGAACAAACTGATAGTTACCAGAGGGAGGGAGGTGAGTGGGATGGGTAAACTGGTGATGGGTTTTAAGAAACCACTTATTGTGATGAGTGCTGAGTATAGTTTTTAAATCTCTGTATTATGTACCTATTTTTAGTATATGTGCTGCCGAAGCGAGCACTGTATTACGTACCTGAAACTAATATAACACTGCATGTTAATTATACTGAAATTAAAATTTTTAAAAATTTAAATAAAAAAATCTTTCCTCTGCAAATTTGCCTATTTCCTTTTATCATTTACAATATAAAAAAACTACCTATAAAAGCAATCATTTTATACATGAAAGTTATATAATCTGACCCAGAGTTTCCCTTGAACCACAGATACAGCATGTTAATACAAACTTGAAAAAAAAAAAAAAGGCAGAATAAAATACCCTACCTAAAATAACCTTTACCATCATCTTCTTTTATTTCTAAAGACACAGAGAAGGTAAAGATGTCACTGTCAGGAGTTTGGGGTGCAGCAGTTGCTGAAAGTGGGGTCTGCTTGGCGGAACGGCGGAAGGCAGTGGCAAAACTGTAAAGTATCCGGCTTACCTACAACAGACAAGTTAGAAAATGGGCTGTTACCAGAAAAAACAAAATAACCTTTATTAAGGCTGAAGGTTACCTATTTTGTGTGTGTGTGTTGGGGGTGGGGGATAATTCATCTTTCCCCCATGGATTTCTTTTGGTAAATAATTTGTTAGGCCTAGAAAGCAAGCAACACTAAAAATGGCCAGAGAAGGGGCTTTAAAAAAGAAATGGTTATAAACACAAGAAATCCAACTGAAAAATAATTTCCAAAATTGTTAAAAACATTCTGAATATATTATAAATAAAAAAAAAATCCTACAAGATTAGCTTTAAAAGAACAGTTTGGAAATGTGTCACTCCTGAAACCAAGATGCCTACCATCAAGAAGCAGTCCTAGTCTCTGACACTCTTAGCAACAAGGTTCTGGTTACCCAAACTTCTAGTTTCTTTATATTTCAGCCCATCAGGCTGGGATGAATAAAACAGCAACGAATTTCATTTGGCTTATTAAGTGACCATAATAAATACCGCAATTAACTTCAACACAGTGAGGGTACAGGTGAAGTTTCATTTGCAGACACTTTTCTGGTAAGGACTTACAGCTTCTTGTATTTCGCACCGGAAGACATGTATTCTGAAGAGCTCTGCATTGTAATGACTTTCAGTGAAAGCAAAACAGTCACTCTCAGGAGTTCCATCATGCCCTCTGACACAGAACAGGATTTTGTAGATAGGGTAGTTTGCTATTTCAGTGTTTGTCTGAGGATCTAAGAGTCTATTCAGGAAAAAAAGTTACAGAGAGCTTAGAGAGATTATGGACTATTTTCACTATATCCATATTATGATTCGAGACTCATCATTCTAGCAAGATCATATAAACCATTTTTGGTATGCTAATCATATTCTTGTTTTTTTTTTTTTTTTTAATTTATTTGACAGAGAGTGACAGCGAGAGTGGGAACACAAGCAGGGGGAGTGGGAGAGGGAGAAGCAGGCTTCCCGCCGAGCTGGGAACCTGATGAGGGGCTCAATCCCAGGATACTGGGAACATGACCTGAGCCGAAGGCAGACGCTTAATGACTGAGCCACCCAGGTGCCCCAATCTTAAGTCTTAATAAGTAAGTCATATGTGGGGGCGCCTGGGTGGCTCAGTCGTTAAGCGTCTGCCTTCGGCTCAGGTCGTGATCTCAGGGTCCTGGGATCGAGCCCCGCATCGGGCTCTCTGCTGGGCGAGAGGCCTGCTTCTCCCTCTCCCACTCCCCCTGCTTGTGTTCCCTCTCTGTGTCTCTACCTGTCAAATAAAATAAAATCTTTAAAAAAAAAAAGTCATATGTGGATTCCTGAAGTTATTAATTACATAATTCCATGGTATTAAAACCTACATAATCTTATGCTTTACGGAGGCAAGCAGAAAGACAAAGAATAAGTACACAGGTTTCTCCTATATAGTCTGTACCTAAATAAAGACTAGATCAATGGGTAAATTAGACTACCAAAATGAATCATTAAAGCTGTGTTTCTCATTACCTCCTAAAAAATGACCTAATCTGCTGTATTATTTAAAAAATAAAAAACTGATGTGCTTTCTCAGAGTGAAACATATTCTTCTGATTCATGGCAAATAAGAGTGTACAAAATGTTAACACCTAAAAAAAGATAATTACTAAAATCAAAAGGATGCCATTTACTGAAAATCAAAGGTATGTCATTCATTCAAATATGTACTGGTTCACAAATACTTCCATGATACCTACAATATTCCAGGTTCTGTTCTGGACGCTGAAGACACAAATATGAAAGTAATGAAAAGAAACTGCAATTTCAACACTAAATGGGCAGGGCCATTAATGAGGAAAGCCCAAGGGTCCCTGTGCATAATGGAAATACACAGGAAGGGGACCTAATTCACATTCAAAGGCACTTTCATGAAAACTCTGGAAACATGGGCAAGAGAAACTGGTTTTTGTATGTCTACAGAATTAAAATGTATCAGAACAAAGTATAACTTCAGCTGGGTAATAACTACTAAGAAGGACATAGAAATGAGCACTAAACAAATTTTATGAGAAGTTTCACATTAACAGGAGCACCTGGGTTGCTCAGTCTATTAAGCATCCGACTCTTAATTTTGGCTCAGGTCATGATCTCAGGGTCCTGGGATCGAGCCCTGCATCAGGCTCCATGCTCAGTGGGGAGTCTACTTGAGAAATCTCTCTCCCTCTTCCTCTGCCCCTTCCCCCACTCGTGTGTGCATGCTCTAAAATAAATAAATCTTTTAAAAAATGCTGATTCTGATATGTCAATATTATTATTGATTCTAATATGTTCTGTTAGATTCAATATGAAACTTCATATTGAACTACTGTGTCAAGCTAGTATCTGTACTGGTGGAACAGAGGAAATATAAATTGTCAGGCATACTTTCAGATCAACATATTTCAATATGTTATCTCCAAAACATTTAAATTTTTAATGTACCACACACAACTAGGGTGGGGAAGAATATAAAAAACTGTTCAAATGAGTGACTAATTTTCATCTGGGTCACAATCCTTGGAAGACATAAGTGCCAGGTGAATTAAACATTACATGAATAAAATAATTATGTATTTTGTTCACTACCGCTTCTTTCTAAATCTGTAGGGCAGAAATCTGATCCGAACATTTCAAGAAACTGGTCTTACCTCACAGTTCCTTCAGATACATTCGGCACTGACAGGGTTACATCTAGGGAAATCTGACACTGGCTTCTTAAGATGGACATCATCCTTAAGGCTTCCACTTCACTCCTGGGAGCATTTACTGAGGCACAGCCTAAATAAGTTAGTTTGCTGAAAACTACACTGTCCTCATCAGCAGCTGGTGTGAAAGGACTTGACCCTTCAGAATCTGAAAGAAATGGTAATGGAAAGTTACTTTCATTTTAGTATTTTGTTGACATGAATACCAAGTAAAAACCTAAAAGTTACACTTAGGTCTACAATTAAGAACTAATGAGATAATATGTCATTGCCCCAGAAGAACTGCCCATTAAAGCCAGAAATTTCACATTAAAACTGTCACTAACACCAAAATTTTTAGGGATTGCTTTACTGTCATTCCCAAATCTAAAATGTGATCTGCAGTTAGATCTGATTTACATTTTTGCCTCTTCTAATTTGTTTTGACTTTATAATTTACATTTAGGTCAAAAATATATTTAGCATTTTGCCACTGTGAAAAATCCTATCTCTGTCTTCTTCCTGATCTGTATCGCTTTATTTCTCTCATTCATCATCTTAGCCACTTAATGTTCTCCCAATACCCGTGGTTCCCCTTTCCCAATAAAGCTGCATAGTTTTAACACTCTATTTTTCCCAATGAGCCTTTATAATTCCCCTATTCCTCCTCTTCTGTGGTGCCTTTTGGCTCCCTTTTAAAAAAACCTGGCAACTACTCCCAAAGAGCTATCTATACAAACCTGCAGCAAATATCTCTTCCCCTAGCATTACTCCTCCACATCTCCAACACTGTACTCAAATTCCTTCTTCCTTGGAAAAATCTTGAAACGTTCTGAAATAAGACTTCCTCAATGTCATTTAACTGCTGTTATCTCTTCCTTTGATATCAATGACATACATTTAAAGGGAAATGAGAATGGTACATATACCTACCCTTCTCACATCCTCCTAAATCTAGAATCTGAACATTCTAGAAAACACAGATAATGGTTTTTGCTTGCTCTGAATCAAACCTAGTATAGAGTAGGCACTCACATATTAAAAACAATAACCTTCAGTTAAGCAAGCAATGCAGCAGTCCTAACCTCCTTGTCCAGGTTTCACTGGCAAGCTCATCTCTGGTTTTTGGAGCCCTACTAATGGCACAGGGTTAATGGTGGATGAAGCTGAGAGTTGGTTAGAAAGAGGTCCATCTCCTTCACCATCCAGTTGCGACCTTTCCACAAGTTCCTTGTCCCCTGGCTGGTCGTCCATTGGAGGATCCATCAGCACATCTGCTAGCTCTTTTTGCAGCTGCTGCTCACTTCCATTCCCTATAATCTAAGGGTCACAAATACACACAATCAGCAAAGTGAGAAAGAAAGGCCAGTACTAATTCAAATGGGTCCGTATTCTAGAGAAAATCATCAGCATTTCTTTTGATACAAAGATATCTTCTGAATGTTTTTCAAAAACAGAATAAATCAGGATCTGCAATAAATAAGAGCTGCAGCTGCTCTCTTAATTCTTTTTTCATGGAAAAAGTGTATAGTGAATTTGAGATTATTGCCCAGAAATGTATGTGACAGCGTTCCTGAAACTTTTCTACAGTGGCCTCAACTAACAATTAAAATATCTGTAATCTTACTTGTCTGGTAAGAAATAATCTGTTAAGAGGCGTATCTTTAGGGGCGGCTTTAATCTTTAAGAAACAGGGAAAATGTGTTTGCTTGCAAAAGTTATCATAGAAACAGAGTGATTAGGTAATAAATTTTCACATGTATTTTACCACTCCTACTATATAAAAGTCAGTCTCTTGTAATTCTAAGGGAGACTCCTTTGATATGAACAGTTTCTTAAAGTTCTGAGGCACCTGAATAAAGCTGGTATGTATAAAATGGCCTGAGGAGAAGCATTCCATTTCAGTGTCAAGTGTTTTTCTAGAGTCATGATGGTTTATTATTAGTTGCTCAATAAGGAAGTAAACAAGTGCAAAATCAAGTGAAGACTGACCGATGTTAAGGAAAACCACAAGTGACAAAACCCAGTATTGTCACTAAATGCTTATTCAAGAAACACTAAAAAAAATTTAACAAAACAAGTTAGAAAAAGTCATGATGAAGAAAGGGGGCTGATTTAGGAGGCTTTCTGAAGACTAAAACCTGACAAAAAGGTAAAATGGGTGGGGCTAGGAGACTGTTTTAAAAAGAAATGAGGTCCTTCCAGTCAAATCAACACAAAAGATAGAAGCAAAATTCCAATAATAACAGACATACCTCTGGACTATCAAAGAACTCAGTTCAAACATTTTTTTATAACTCTATAAGCTTCAAGTTCCTTTGGCTGTAAATTATAACTGAGAAACAGTCTTAAGTCTTTTTTGCTGACATTTTCCCAACGAAATCTAACATGTCAGCTACTCTTGCCTTGGAAATAAGGGCCACACAGGTGTTCAGCCTTGTGGCTTCAGTGACAATGTCTATTTCCCTGAACTTCATTTTATGTTTACAGTTACTGCTAATGGAACTACAAGTGGGTCAAGTAATTTTAATTGTTTGTTACGCCTGATCCTACACATCCATGAATGCAAATTTCTTCTTTCAGAAGTTTTTTAAGTCATCAAAAAAACAAACCACAGCTTAGTTCCAATTACCCTCTCATTCTTTCAGAACTGGAGAGCAATTACTCTATCACCTGCAGTAAACAAAAGATAGTCTAATTGAACCTAAACTGTTTTCTAAGGGGAAAAAGAACATAAGTAGGATAGTTACAGCTTCCTGAAGACAGATGGAAAAAAGATATTAGACTCCATGTTTGTGTAATTAGTAATAACTGGGGAGACTATCACCAAAAGAGCAAACTAAATCAAAGAGAAGACATTATATTTTACATGTTACAAAGTACTGTTTTGTTCTTTGGTTTATAGGGTAATTAAGCTCACGTTTCCTGTTGGATAGGGTGCCTACATTTTCATATATTCATCAATAAAAATACACCTAAGCCTGAAAGAAAACATGTTTATATGCTTATATTTTGTGTTTATACATGTTTATCTTGCATTCTTCTTTCGTTTATAAAGTCTATAAACATAAGAACTGCCTTCTACTTCCTCAACTCTTCCTTAAAGACTAGGAAAAAGAAATGTATACACACAAACATGCTGATTTTTAAAAGCTGTTTAAAGACAGCAATGCAACATATGCTTTGGATGATTAGGGTCAATACAGTACTCAACAATTATGTTAGATTTGTGAACCTTCAATTTAATTTCAAAATTACTGTCTGTGACATAATAATATACATACTTAAACCAGTTTTCTTCGTTGTTTTTGTTTTATTTAAAAATATTTTTTTTATTAAGTAATCTCTATGCCCAACATGGGGCTTGAACTCATGACCCTGATATCAAGAACTGCATGCTTGATTGACTTAGCTAGCGAGGAACCCTGTTTGTTTTTTAAAGATCTTATTTATTTGAGAGAGAGAGAGAGAGAGAGTGAATGAGAGAGAGATCATGAGCAGGGGGGAAATGGAGAGGGAGAAGCAGACTCCCCACTGAGCAGGGAGCCTGATGTGGGACTCGATCCCAGGACCCTAGGATCATGACCTGAGCTGAAGGTAGACCTTTAACCAACTGAGCCACCCAGGCACTCATCCGTTGTTCGCTTTTTTTTAAAGACAGTTTTCCCTAGGCTTATCTAGGAAACATTCAGCAATGCCTTTCAGGGTTCTCAAACTTTGGCATGCATCAGAAGCACCTGGAGAACTTTTAAGACACAAACTGTTGGGCCCCAAATGAATTCCAATTCAGTGAGTCTGGGTGGACCTGATAATCTGCATTTTTAAAAAGTTTCCAGGAGATGGTGATACTGCTAGTCTGGGGACCATGCTCTAAGAACTTAACTTTAGGTTAATGGGTTTTTTTTTTTTTTTTTGAATGTTCGTGGCAGCTTTATTCCAGATATTGATCTTGGGGAATGGATACACAGACTGTGGTACATTTAACAAATGGAGTGTTGCTCAACAACAAAAAGGAACAAATTCGTGACACAAGCAACACCATGGGTAAATCTCTAAAACATGCTGCATGAGAGAAGCCTTGCGTAACGCAGTATGCACTGTATGGTTCCAACTCTATGAAGTTCCAGAACAGGCAAAACTCATCCATGGTGGAAAAAATCAGAGTAGTAGCTGTCTCTGCATGTTGGGTAAGAGGGCAGATTGAGGAACATGAGACATTTTGGGATAATAGTAATGTAATTTTGATCGGAGTCTCCATTAAACAACTGTGCACATTTGTCAAAACTCGGAGAATGTTTGCCTAAAATGTGCATATATCATTGTGCATACCTAAAAAAAAAATAGCTGTAAATAAAATGAAACTATTTAATGAAGTGCATGTTGAAGTATTTAGGGGGAAGTGTTCTTAACCATAACTACACAGCATAATAACAAATATTACCAGGAAGCATGTTAAAATTCAAATATGTGCTCCTCCCTCCGTCCTCTCAGGTCCCAACCTAACAAGTAAATCAGTCTCAGAGGTAGAGCCTGGGCATATGCATTTTGAAGAACCGCCACAGGTGATTTACAAAACAGTTGGCAGGCCAGATTAGACCAGCAGACTGTAGTTTATTGACTCCTGGTATTGATGAATAGCTTAAACAAACCAACAACTACTTATCGCTATACTTCGTGTTGTAACAGAAAATAAACCCACTATTAATACGGTTTTCTGTTCCCTGATGCCAACAGCATTCTTTTTTTTTTTTTTTTTTAAGATTTTTATGTATTTACTTGACAGAGACAGAGAGAGACACAGTGAGAGAAGGAACACAAGCAGGGGGAGTGGGAGAGGGAGAAGCAGGCTCCCTGCCGAGCAGGGAGCCGGATACGGGGCTCGATCCCAGGACCCTGGGATCATGATCTGAGCCGAAGGCAGATGCCTAACGACTGAGCCACCCAGGTGCCCTGCCAACAGCATTCTTAACAGATAACACAATCATCTCTAAAATAACACACTGCAATATTAGTCAAAGGGTAGACAAACAGATCAATGGAACAAAACAGAATCCAGAAATAGACTGACACATATATGGCCAATTGGTTTCAATAAAGTTGAGAAGATAATTTAATGGAGAAAGAGAATAAAAGAAATGGGACTGGAACAATTAACTTGACATCCATGCCTATGCAAAAACATGAAGCTCAGCCAATACTTCACATCACATACAAAAATTAATGCAAAATGGATCACAGGTCTAAATGTAAATCCTAAAGTCATAAAACTTACAGAAAAAAAGGAAAAAACCTATGAAAATCCTGGAACACAGAGATTTTTAGTGACACAAAAAGTAGCATAAAAGAAAAAAAAATGATAGGGGCGCCTGGGTGGCACAGTCGGTTAAGCATCCGACTCCTGGTTCTGACTCAGGTCACATCTCAGGGTTGTGAGATTGAGCCCCTGCTTCAGGCTCTGCACTCAGCACGGAGTCTGCTTGAGACTCTCTCTCTCCCTCTCCCCCGGCCCCTTTCCCCTATGCTCTTGCTCTCTAAAATAAAAATAAATCTTTAAAAAAATGATAAAATGTGCTTTATCAAAACTAGAAACTTCTGCTCAAAAGACACTTCAGAGAATGAAAACATAAGCCACAAGACTTGGAGAATATGTATCTGATGAAGGATTTATATCCAGAATGTCTTATAACTCAATAAGGAAACAAGCAACCCAATTTAAAAAAATGGGCATTTCACCAAAGGTATACAGATGGTTAACTAATAAGCACGTGAGAGAAACTCAATTCATTAGCCATTAGAGAAACTGAAACCGCCCTAGGATGCCTTCATATACCTATAAGATTGGCTAAAATTACATTCAAAACAATGCTAACAATACCAAGGATTGGCAAAGACACGTCATAACTGAAAAACTCTCATACACTGCTGGTGGGAATGCAAAATGGTAGACTCACTTCAGCTGTTTTTTGTAAATTTTATAGTTAAATATACACTTACCATATGACTCAGTCCTAGGTATTTACCCAAGAAAATTAAAACATATGTCCTGACTGTGAATGTTTATAGCAGTATTATTCATAATCACCAAAAACTGAATATAAGTGTTTATCAACTGCTTAGTGGATAAACAAAACTTCCATATATCTATACAATGGAATACTACTCAGCAATAAAAAGGGATGAATTAATACATGCAATAGCATGGATTATTCCAAGTAAAATAAGCCAGACATAAAAGGCTACACCATACTGTAAGATTACATTTATACAGCATCCTGGAAAAGCACAACTTCAGGGACAGAAATCAGATCATTGGTTGCCAG